CTATCTATCTATCTATCTATCTATCTATCTATCTATATGTTTATTCTTGATCGCCTGTGCTATACAGCTGTTTACGATACCTGCTCATCTCTAGCCCATTCATGTAATCCTGTCGTGGTGGCCTGCTCGACCTGCAGTCTTTTTTGGCGACTCATCCTTGCCGGACCAGTCTGATGCCTCCACCGCCTCCGCCGGATTACTCAACACGCCACGACTAATTCAGACAGTCCTTTTATGCGTTTCTAGTTTAGTCGCATCGAGCGGCCTGCGGGATGGAAGTGATCGACCATCTCGATCAGACCAAAGTGAACGGCTAAAGCACTAACAACGATTGCCATTGTTATGCTGCCATTCTGTTCCAATCTATTTTTCTCTTCATGTGATGCATTTAAGCCTGGTTGATAGCCCACGAGTGATAGCTCTTTGCCATGTTTACCGTGCTGCTTTCAACTGTCTTCCCCTTTTTACGCCTAGTGCCTGATTTAATCACCAATTCACCTTACAAGGATGTCAGCAAATTGCACCACTTTCGTGTAGATAGGACCGTCTAATCGTCTGTTGTTAGGTCGTGTAACAATCGATTTAGTCTACGCCAGCCATAGCAAATGGATTCTCCAAATTGGCCTTTTTCTCTTCCACTCTCTTGCCTATCTCTCCTCTCTTCTCGGATCGATGCCTATTCGCCATTCGACATCGTTATGGCCTTGGCAGTTTGTTGTCGTGACTAGGTGTACACGCCTCGAGGGGCTTTCCTTCACCCCTCGTCCGCCTCCATTCTGCATAGCTTATTTATCGTTATCTCGTCGTGTCACGTTTTCATACCTCTCCTCGGCAGACGATCCTTCGATTTTGTTATTTTATCTGCTACCCTCCAGCCATGCCAACTAGCCGCCCAAACGGCCGACCGCTCAACTGCCTATCTATTCATCCTCCCTCAAGCCTGACATACAAACCCTCATATGCACATTCCTATCTGCTATACGCTTGTTTTACATCTTTTTTTTCTACACTTCATCTTCATCTCTGCCCCGCTCTTTCTATCCCTACACTCGTCCAACCGGGCTCCTTACAGCTTACCTCGTCTCATTTATCCTCCAGCCGTCCGTCATTCAATCTTTTCCGTGGGCTTCGCTCCTCGTTTTGTCTGATCCGCTATTTTTCCGTTTGCCTTGAAGACTTGTGTGAGGATGGGCATCGATTAGCTATTTATCATTTCGCATATCCATCTCCCTAATTGACTACTTGTCTCGCCGAGCCCATGTTTTTCAAGATCGCCCTATGCCTCTTTCATCTGACCATCATCTTGGTCTGTCATCCTCTTCTGTCTCCCTTGGTCTGTGTTTCCCTTTTTCCTTCACATTCGCATTCTTTTCCCCTTTCCTTTCTCGCCTTCGTGCCCACACCAAGTTGCAGCCGATCACGGCCTCGAAGGCAAAACAGAATCGCTCTCCTTTCCATCACCTACTTACTCCCTGCACTTGCCCACATCGCCTCATCTCACCTCACCTCACCTCACCTCATCTCATCTCATCTCTTTTCCACTCCCTCCTTGTTTCGGCCACCCTGAGGGTATTGCTTGCTCGCTCTGCCTCCACACCTCGCTGCTCTATCGTGCCACTTTGGGCCCACTTGTTCAGGATCGGCTGAATCGGCGGAATCAGCTGAATCGTCTTGTCTGACGGTCACTCTTGCAGCCTTTGGCTGACTTTTGGCATGCAGCCCACCCTCTGATAAATGACTTTCTCACACTGCCGCTTTGACCTTTTTTCTCTGCTCACATACATCTTTGTGCACATGCTTCGTGTGTATACCCTCAAATATAAATACACATGTATATAAATGCATGCTTCTCTTTACCTCACACACACACATATATACATACACATATATATATATATATATGTGTGTGTGTGTGTGTGTGTGTGTGTATGCGTGTGTTATGGACAGTTAGCAAAGGAAGTCTCGAGGGGCGTAGCTCCACCGGAGAGAACGAGAAGGATATAGGGACTTCGGGCAGTCTGCTCCTCTGGCAAGCCGGTGTAAGAAATGAGAGCCTTGCAGTTATTTTAAGCCCATTTCGATCAATAACAGCCAATCGATCCGTTCAGGCGGCTCACTCAGTCTACGAGCCATTTAGCCCTGACATTGTCGAGACATGATTCGTTTTATGCCTCCCTCTCGGGCACAACCACTCGCCCACTCGTCCACTCGACTATATCGCTTAGCCCAAACAGACACCAATCAACCCCACGGTGAGACGCCAAGGCTTCACATTCAAGCCTCATATCATCAGTAGACAAATTAGTCTTATCAGACGAGACACTATTGAACTGATTAAGTCCGCTTCCTCTCGTCTCCTCTCGTCTCCTCTCGTCTCCTCTAGTCTCCTAGTCTCTTCTCGTTTCATTTCGTTTCCATAGTTTGTTGCCCCAAAGCCTGTAGGGTTAAGAGGACTAATCTACAGGCTGACTTCTAAACAGGTTTCATATCATCTCATTATCTCATCTCTTCTCCTGGTGTCTATTATCGCTTAAATTGCTCCAAAAGCTTCACTTGAATCCTCCAGATTCGCACCGCCATTTCTTTCCATTTACTAGCTCTCTTCGTCCTATAACTGATGCCATTTTTCCCACTCTGTCCAAGCTCATATTTCTGTGACCCGCGCCTGTTAGCGAAACCCTTGGCTGAGAGGATTCGTACCATTAGCTCCATAGAGCCTAGTCGTTCAGTTACCCTTTTTGTCCTATTCATATACATTTAATCCTGATGCCACCTTTTGTCAAACCATTTAAACTACATCGTAGATATGAAGACAAAGATGATGTATTCTTCTGTTCGGTCGCAGTCTCAATTTGGAATACAATTCTCCTTCATTGAGCTATAGATTATAGAGCTATATTCTTTAAAGATTATTTCCTCAAACACCAATATTCTAATCACGTTTATCTGCATATACTTCGATCGGCAAACTTTCACAGAATATATCTGAGTTCTTCTGCACACTAATTCATGAGGTCGTTTTGTTTACGTCTCTGTAGAATGGAACAATGTTTTTTCAACATGCTCCTGTGTGGCAGCGAATTCCATTTTTTACGGCTAACGGTTTTATTATTATGCAGAATTTGATTGTTATACTATCGGTATTTAGTCGATATGCCGAGAAACTGGGTTTTGATAAAATCCCTCAATACACTGATCTTGGTGTACCTTTCATTCTTTTAAGGAGTCGAGTCGAAAAGATACGTAACTTGAAACCACCAAACCAGAAGGAAGATTTCTTTTGAATGGAATAGTAAATTTGTACTGAGCTTCTGTCTTTCATGTGAAGGAATTTGTCAGAGCCATCATCACCATTTACTGAGAATTCACCAAAACTCTATCTCAAAACAGATAGCCAACTGCAATACTACCTACTTAGGTAGTGTTGGTTCGACCTCATTTTCGCAACTTGATCGGAGCGTCAGGAAGACCTTGTGGAACGTACCTGGTCCTGTCTCCTTTGCCACAGCATTCTTAATTTCCAACATCGGACCGCCGATTTGATTCATTCCCAAACGTTTTGCCGGCATTATAATCGGCATCGTTAGTCAGAAATGCCATCGTCAACACAGCATTCCAACTTATCAAAGTGACAAGTCACTTGATAACTTGTCATCACCATCTTATTCTTTATATTCACGGTCTATCTTCTAATTGTTTGGATTTGTCACCTTAATGAGACAACTTATGATTTAGACATACATGCTTGCAGATAAATGAAGTTGCTGCGTTTGGCAAA